TGTCCAGACATCAATGACAAGACGGGATGCAGTGAGAAGACTGGCCAAAGCCAGCCAAGACCAACTAAGACCAAGATGGTATAGCCAGCAATCTCTTCTTGCCCCTTTTGCTCATTATACACTAATTATAATACATTAGCATGCCAAAAGACATTCCCACTAGTGCCATGACAGTTTACAATGACCATGGCAACTCCTGGAAGTTGCCCTATGTAGTTTAAAAAGAGGAGGAACCCTTGATATTGGAAGCTCCCCGACTCTTCCCTAGAAATCCTATGACTAATTCACCATTTGCTTAGTATGTAATCAAGAAATAGCTATAAAAATAAAACCCCAGTGAAATATGGCTGTTGTTCTCCCTATACTCCAGCCCAGGCTGCTCTGCCTTTGGAGTAGACTATTCTCTGTCATTTCAGTAAACTTGTTTTTATTTTCCAACTAAAATCTGGGGTCTGCTCTACCTACAGTTTTCTTTCCATTCCTCTTTTCTTTTAATAAAGTTGTTTTCACTTTACCTTGTTGGCTTGCTCTTGAATTCTTTCCTGCATGAAGCCAAAAACCCACTTGCCTCTTGGGTAGGATCTCAACTTTGCCATCCCCTGGCCTATATCAAATTTAACTATGAGTAAGAAGCATGTTTTTAATTGGTAGTACGTGAGAAAAAAGCATTAATATCATTTATTTGGATCCTTTATTATCATTGTCCCTTGATTTAGGCTACAAATAACCTTCATGAGAATTAGGGAGTGGAGATACATATATACTAGCTTAAGACCAGAGGTCTCAGGCCAGGCACAGTGGTTCATACCTGTAATCCCAGCTCTTTGGGAGGCCGAGATGGGAGCATAGTTTGTACTGAGGAATTTGAGACCAGCCTGGACAACATAGTGAGACCTCATCTCTACAAGAAATCAAAAAATTGCTGGGCATGGTGGCGCACCCATAGTCTCAGTGACTTGGGAGACTGAGGCAGAAAAATAAATCTGAGCCCACGTGGTGAAGGCTGCAATGAGCTGTGATTGTGCCACTGCACTCTAGCCTTGGTGACAGAATGAAACTCCCCCCACCCCCCAAAAAAAGAACAGCGGTCTCAAGAAGGATAATGTTTCTTTTGAGTGAGAATTAAGGCCATCTAGCTAATGATAGAAGCACACATTCCAGGGCAGGGTTTCTTAACCCTTGACATTATCGACGTGTTGCTAGAGATAATTCTTTATTGTTGGGGCTGGGGGACTCTCCTGTGCATTGCTGGATGTTTCCTAGGTCCATGGTCTATCTCTACCAGATGCCAATATCACCTTCCTCCTGCCAAGTGTGACAACTGTAGGGACCATGGTTTTTGTCCCCTAAAGTTTTGTAGAAAAATTACTGGTATGGAACAGGTTGAGTAATAGGAGAAAAAGCATACATATTTATTTAACATGTAACCACAGGAGCCTTTTTCATGAAGACCCAACTTCCCAATGAGTTACAGGAATTTAAATACCATCTCAAGGTTACAGAGAGAATGGGGGCTTAGATTTTGTTAAGACAGGTTATGGGAGGGGGAAAAGAGGAAATTTATTGAGGAGTAACACATGACTGGGACAATGAATTGATGAGGAGAACAGAGAATGACTTGCAAATAGTTCTCTTTGGAAGTTGAATAAATCTGAGAGACAGGCTTCATGTTGATTAAATTCTTCATCTGATTAAATTCTGCATCTCCTTTCCTGCAACAGAAAATGAGAATAACAGGGAGAGACAGACCGTGTGGCAAAATGCCATATTTTGGGGTATTGTCTTCTGAGTCCCAACACAACCAAAAATGTTTCTGGTTATTTCCAAATTTATTCTAGTGTGAAAAGAGGGTAGCCTATTCTATTCCAAGCAGCCAAAGGGCAACATGTGAAGCTTACAGGGGGGTGTATTCAGCATTTGAACTAAGTATACACACCACACACACACACAAACATACACACACACTTTCTGGCTTTAATTTTTTTTTTTTCTGATTTCTTTATTGAATGCATGACCTCCACAACCTCATCCCATGAATTAAAAATTAGTAAAAATTGATAAGTCTAGAGTTCTGAAAACTTTCCTACGCTCTCTTTGTAGTCATGATATTTGAGGGACTTGTATGGGAAAAATAAAACAGTTGTCAGCCTATGTTTGAGGGGCTTTTTTCCCCCCAATAGAATTTTGCTGCTATTTTTCTCTTCCAAGGGCAAAAGTTCAGAATGGTGATAGTATGTTTTGACTTCGACAGTATCATGAATAAAAGATTACTTTGTGTTAGGTTACATGCTAAGGCCAATAGTAAAGAACATTTGAGGTATTTGTCATTAGATGCCTATTTTTTGCCTGAGTCTTCAAAATAAATAATCCAAAGCACATCTTAAAAAGTAACAACCTTTTGAGGTGGGAGGATCACTTGAGGCTGAGTTCGAGACTGGCTTGAGCAACATAGCAAGATGTTATCTCTACAATGAATGAAAATAGCTGGGTGTGATGGTACATGCCTGTAGTCCCAGCTACATCTTGAAGGAAGGTAGGGGTCAGTAGGGTTTATAGACCACAGGTAGATTAAAAGACTTTCTGATTGATAATTGAAAAAGTTAAGCTCTGTCTAATGAAAGAATGTGAAATCAGTGGAAAGAAGTGCTTGAGTTGAGATAAGAGGAGTTGCAGAAGCCAAAGTTCTTGTTAAATAGATCTAAGTAGCAGACTTCAGAGAGAATAGGTGGTAAATGTCTTAAAAAGCACCAGATTCTTCCTAGGGAAGGAGATTCTCTATAGGTACAATTTTTCTCAAATGATGGCTTTGCAACGCTACCTCATGCAACTCTACTCCACACAAAAGTAGCTAGAAAAAGAACTATTTGGCCAAAAGAAGCAGATGTTCCATTATTGGTGGAACCAATATCTTATCCTTCAGGAATGGACACATTAATACAGCAAATGAAATCAAGAGTCTGTCAACATCAAGAAAGGGCAAATTGGTCACTAAGTGGGCAGCTAATTATATCAGCCAGAACTGCAAAATCTGACTTTTGCCTCTGCTGTTGCCAACCTCTCTGACCTCCATCTCCACCTCTGACTTTTCTTTCTCAGAACGCCCTCTGATGAACAGCTATTTCTCCTACAGACACCTTGAATATGAGACCCAGTGGCCCCCATTAAAACAATTTTCTATTCCTCAGTGATCAAGATTGAGGTAAAGGAAGAAGACTAGAAAGAAAAGAGAAAGCTGACTTGGACTCAGAGCTCGACTTGGTAGAAGATAAATTGTTCATTAAAGTTCCTCCATGGGCCAGGCACTCTTCTAAGCACTGGGGAGTCAATGGTGTGCAAATTAGGCAAGATTTTATTTTTCATTGATCTCATGTGCCAATGCAGGAGACAGTTGATACATTCATAAACATATATATAAAGCCAAGACTGAGATGCATTATGAAAAAACACAGGGCAAGGGACAGAGGTGATGGGAATGTGTCTCTGAAAAAGTATTGAGGAATGAACTTGTATGTAGAAACTATGTCATTATTTGGGAGACTTGGAGTAGGAAGGCTTTGACATGGGAGGGTAGCTATAACTTAAAATATCAGGAATGAGGATGCGGCCAGGATCAAGTATACAAGGATCAGAAATGAGGACAGAGACATACCCAGTGGCCCAAGGATGTAGGATTTTGTTGTCCTTGGGATTTTATTCTTCATTTAATGGAAATCACTAAAGTGATTTGGACAGGAAAGTGGCATGATCTGCTTTATATTTTAAAAGACTCCAGCTGCTACAAAGAGGAGTACTAAATTATTATTATAATGGTTAATGGTACAAATTTGAACAAAACATTTGTAACAAACTTTGATAAGTATATTAACACAAATAATATATTTTGGAAATATATTTCTTAAACAAGGGAGATGGAGCTCTCTCCACCCTCCCCCAGTAGTTTATATACTTATGGATAAATAACTGTATTTCACTTTTATTTCACTAGGATGAGATAAATTTTAGGACCAATTATATTCCAATTTTTTTATTTTCATAGTTTCCAGCTTTGAGATACTTGATTGTCATAATTAAGTAGATAGAAAGGGAAACTTTTTATTGTGATACCGTTAAATTTGTTTGAATTTTTTTTGAGTTATTTGTCAAAAATCACACCACACTTTATTATTAAAAACTATTTTTGATGGTCTATCAATTGACAACTAGATTATGTCCTTCAATACTGTAAAGGCCTAAACCTAAGCCTCCCAACATGTACAAGGGCATGCTGCCCTGTCACTGAATCATTCATACATCTCACCATTGACACCAATATTTGTCATCATTTCTTGGCTTGACATCCTACAGATTTTTATACTCCAGGATGAGAAGCTGTGGTAAGACTCAATGACAGGTGAGAGCTGTGGTTATCTTTTGTTGCATGGGAGAAAGGGGATGGTGAAAGAAGTCTCTTTGATCACAGCACAACTCAGGCACTTGAGTTCAGGAGAGAGCACAAATACACACTGAAAATCTAGACATTGATTCCTCTAAAATTGCCCTTGCCGGCTTCCCCCTTGGAAAATCTTCCTGCATATAGCTCAGAGCCTACCGCGCTAGTGGGTGAGCTCTGTTAGGGCATATTATTTTATTTCTCTGCAGTTTATACCAGGCAATATGCCTAGCACAGAATCATCTTTTTTGTTTTATAATGAGGGAACTGGTGAGTCGGGGTGTCAGGCTGTTTTCTCATTCTTCCCATATCTTTCTCAACTGCCCATTCCTCATGCTGTACTGAGATGTAGCCATTGGGATACCAGACACATTTTTCTGGCTAGTAGAGTCCCAAGCTAAGGGGCAATAACACCAAAGACATAAACACAAAGAAGTACAGAGTTTGTCTTTATTACTCAAGAAGAAAAGTTGAAACAAATGAAGGGGGTAGTGTGAGTCAAGTTTCCTGGTTGAGGTTGTGGTTTCATTACTGTCATTGTTACAAAACTGGCTTCTCAGCCTCCTCCATCTCAGGCCAGCCTGCAGCAGCGGGCAGTGGTCCAGTCCACCACAGAGCACTGGCAGTGGCACCTGGTTTCCAACTGGACATCCCACGAACCGCAGCCGTAGCCACAAGCACAGCTGGTGACAGCCATCCCCGCATGGGCGCATGAGGCACAGACATCAGAGCCCTTGGAGTTTGAGAGGAGGGAGGGCTACCCACAGACTTCTTTCAACCCTGTGCAGCCCAGAGCTAGACCTAGGTTTTGTAGGGCCTAAAGCTCATTTAATTTTGAAAGCCCGTTTCAGGAAAAGAAATACACAAGCTACTAAAACAAATTTATAGGGCCTGGAAGAGGCCTATGCAAGTGAGGGACTTGGAAGTTGGGAGATTCAGCTGCCTTCAGTTCACAATAAACTCACCTCTGTTCTGGCTCCTACTTGTCAAAACAGGGGCATAGATTGGGAAAGAGAGATGAAGGGCATGACCATGACAGAATAGTTGAGGAGAAGGACTGGCATATGGGATCATGAAAGAAGAAAGTTACAGGAAAAGTCAGAAATCCAAGATCCTTCAGGAAAATGAGAGGGGGCAACAGATGTTGGGGAATCAGGGTGACTGAGCCCCAGGGTGATATAGACCGAGATGGGGGAAGGTGGAGATGCTGGGAGAAGTTCAGGGGAGGACACGGGTTGTCTTACCCACCATTACTCCTCTGGCAGTTACTCACCATCAGGGCAGGAGGACAGTTTGCCTGGCATGGTGATGCTGATACATGAGATCTTGGCAGAGGGATTATGCTCTGAATAGGAAAGAAAAAGGGGTATAGTCTATGATCCAGCTCTCTCATAATTCCCTTCAAATCCTCTTCTACCCCTGAGGTGTCACTGTGTCCACGATCAGGCTACTCACTAGCTTCTAGGGTTTAGTATCCTCATTTGTAAAGGGAAAGTCATAGTTTTACTTACCTTACAAAGTGGTTATAAGAATTAAATTAACTAAATCTATATATAACTTGGAATTATGCCTGGTTCATAACGAGTATTCATAAATTATAGCTACCGTTTTCCTCGTCCTCCTCATCAGGGAGACCTCAGCTTTTAGCCAAGAGTCCAGACAAGGAAAGAGTTATGTAGAAAGTTCTAATCAAGAAGGCAGTCTAAGTGGACTGATTAGAGATTGGAATCTCAGGATGGGATAGAGATGAAGTTAGACTTTAAGAACAGAAGACATGAACGAGGGTCAGCCTCTCACTTCCTGCTACCCTAGTCAGTTACCTGGATTCTGAGAAAATCCTTGATCTTGTTATCCACAATAAGATCTAAGGAACACTGAGTTCTCCCTGGGATCATCAGCTGGAAAAGGGTGATGTGGCCGGGCTCGGTGGCTCAGCCTGTAATCCCGTGTCTTTGGGAGGCTGCGGTGAGTGGATTGCCTGAGCCCACGGGTTCGAGACCCGCCTGGGCAGGCGAGAACTCATCTCTAAAATAAATCAAAAAATTAGCCGGGCGTGGTAGCGCGCGCCTGTAATTCCGGCTACTCAGAAGGCTGAGGTGGAAGGATCACTGGAGCCCAGCAGGTCGAGGCTGCGGTAGCCGGGAGCAGCCACTGCACTCCAGTCTGGGCAACCGAGTGAGACTCCAACTCAAAGAAAAAAAAAAAAAAAGGGTGATGTGGATGAGAAGGAAGCAAGAAGAACTCTTCATCCTGTAGAAGTCAGGGTCCTGGGGCTGGGAGAAAAGATGGGAAGAAGGAAGAAGCTCAGATCTCTGAGCTGCCATGTAGTTGTGAGGAAAGGAGAAGGCAATGTGGATAGTCCCGAGAGAGTAAGGAGGGAGGAACAGCAACAGTCTTTAAGTGGTTTGGAGAAGCAGGGAGCCTTGCTGTGGAGTTGACTCACTCACCCAAATGTTCAGAAAAGGTCTGCAAGAACTGGTCAGGCAAGTGTGTTTTAATACCCATGGACTCAACCAGGAAACCCTTAAAGTACAAGCACATACATACATTAAAAGCATGCTTCCTGTGTGTTTTCAAAGACCTGCACCAGCTGGGGAATGACACATGACCGTGATAAACTTCAAACTGTCCATGACGAGCCACAGCTGTCTTTGCCCTGGGTCTCTGCCAATGAGAGTCTTCCTGACTTTCTGTTCTTCTCTCTCCTTTCTTCTTGGCAATCTGACAAGGCTAGCACCTGGGCCTTCTGTGGCCTGCCCTCATAAGATAAGCCTCCTGTATGACCCTTCATCAGGAAGAGGTTACTTTGTGGTGTGCTGAGGGCCCTACTTGTCACCTGTTCAGATACTATTTTATTGTCCCTGACCAATCCCATTTGTGGGAAAGTCACAGAAAGGCTGATCAACCCTGGTTCAAATACAAGGCAATTTACTCTATATTTAACCAGAAACATGGTTTACAATTACAGAGTTTTTCTGGGGATTCAGCAGCAGGGTTATTGCTATCCTGATCTTTCTCCCTTCCCCCCTCCATCATTCTCAGGTAATCTTTTGATCTTGTCTCTCAAGGTAGCAGGTACCACATCTTCGGCCCAGATTCTGAGTAGGAAGAAAGGATTTGGACAAGGGCATTCTCTTTGGAGTTTTGCCTTGTCATTAAAAAAAATTTTATTAAATAGTTTTTATTTAAAAATTAAAACATTTAAAATAAATAATAATAAAATAAGTAAATTGCATTAAACAGCATCTTGCTATGTTGCCCAAGCTAATCTTGAACTCCTGGCCTCAAACAATCCTCCTAAAGTGCTGAGATTACAGGCATGAGCCACCACAACTGGACTGCCTTTTCATTTTTAAAAGCAGAATCTCCCTCTAGAAGCTCAAGAAGATTTCCCCTTGCATTTCATTGTTTGATTCTGGGTCACATGACCTCCCTCTCTTCTGGTGTGGCTAGGGCAGCAAGTTGAGCTCTACAATTCCATATTAAAGACCTCAGGCCCAGATATGTTTTAGAATTCAGAATGTTTCAGATTATGGAAGGTACAAATTTTGTATATTACATTACACTGCCTAGTAGGTTGGGGGCAGCACTCTGTAATTAAACATATTAATATGTTTGCTGCAAAATGTATGCTTATTAATATAGAATGAGCCGGGCTCAGTGGCTCAGGCTGCTTTGGGAGGCTGAGGTGAGTGGATTGCCTGAGCCCGCGGGCTCGAGACCTGCCTGGGCAACTTGGCGAGACCTCATCTCTACAATAAATCAAAAAATTAGCCGGGTGTGGTAACGCGCGCCTATAGTTCCAGCTACTTGGAAGGCTGAGGCGGAAGGATCACTGGAGCCCAGCAGGTCGAGGCTGCAATGACCGGGAGCATGCCACTGCACTCCATTCTGGGTGACAGAGTGAGACTCCAACTCAAAAAATAAAAATAAAAAATAAATAATACAGAATGAAAAAATATCGTAAGCATCTCACACCAGGCCATGTCAGATTTTTCTACCAAATGAATTTAGGGAAAAAAATGTTGGCTTTCAGAGCCTTTTCAATTTTGGAAGAGTATATAAGAGACTCATATCTGGCCAAGAGGATATCTGTTCCAAGAGGAACAAGAGTGCTATGATTCATCGTCTAAAACAGGGCATGTGGCCACCATGAATAAATTAGATTTAAGGAAGAGCAGATGAAGAAGCAGAAAAGGCTGTTGGGTAACCATTCTGGAGGTAGTCTGGGTGAAAAAGCCAGACTCTACATCTGAGCCCAGCCTTTCTGCCCTCTTTCTTAGAGCTGCCCTCTGACAAACAGCTATTTCTTCTATATGTCTCTCTTGGTCAACTTTGAGAATGGTGCCCAAGGATGCCAGCAAAAAGGTAAGGGTACTTTGTCAATTACTAGACAGGAATTGAGGAAAACAGTGAGGGATAGAGCACAAGAAAGTGCATAGACAAGGGTGGGCTCCATGGTTCAGCCTGCAATCCCAGCACTTTGGGAGGCCGAGGTGAGTGAATTGTCTGAGCCCGTGGGTTCGAGACCAGCTTGAGCAACTTGGCTAGACCTCGACTCTACAATAAATAAAAAGTTATCCAGGTGTGGTAGTGCGCGCCTGTAGTTCCAGCTACTTGGAAGGCTGAGGTGGAAGGATCGCTGGAGCCTAGCAGGTCGAGTCTGGGGCGGCCATGAGTGTGTCACTGCACTCCAGCCTGGGCGATGGAGTGAGACTCCAACTCAAAAAAAAACCCCAAAAAACCACAGACTTGGAATTGGGGTAGAAATGGATCAATTCAATCGTTGTTAATTCAGTGAGTATTTGTAGAGCACCTCTGTATGAACTCTAGCTCTGGTAACTCAGGAGTAGGCAACGTAGACAAGATCCTTGCCTTCTTGTTACTACATTCCTATGGGGGAGATAAATACACCCAATAAGCAAATAAATATGTAATATTTCAGATATTGAAAAATGCCCTGAAGAAAAATAAATCAGGTAAGGCAATAGAGTAGGTTGCTGTGCTATTGCACATATGCAGTGTGTTTAGGGAAACTGTAACAATTACCTGAAAAAGTAAGGGTGTGAGACATAGGAAAATGGGGACAAAGTCTCCAGGTCAAGGATCAAGTGTAAAGCGCCTGTGACGCGGGGATGTTGTGTGTATTGTAGGAATAGTAACAATGGCAGCGTGGCCAGAAGGGAGTGTAGCAAAGAAGAGGCAGAGAGGCCAGGAAAGAGGTCAAAGATACAACCAGGGTCAGATTATAAACCAGTGTAAGGCTTTGGGGTTTATTGTAAATTTGACAGGAAATGATTGGAGTGTTTTGTTCAGGGGAGTGACATGGAGCACTTTATGGTTTTTAACGCTTACTAGACCACTGTGAAAGAGACTATGGAGGGAAAACTGGTAAACACGGAAACCAGGCAGCGGGCTTCTACAGAGTTCTAGTTCTCAGATGGCAGGGAGGGAAGGAGTGAGAATTGGATGGATTGGGGTTATTTATAGAAGGCTGAGCCTAGTAGGGTTTGCTGATGGATCCAGGGTGTAGAAGAAAGAGAGGAGTGAAAGATCCGGGTTTTTGTTCTGAATAATTTATTGAAGAGTGAAACTATGTACCAAAATGGAGTTCCCTGGAGAAGAATAGATATGATGGGAACATAAAATCATATTTGATGATCACAATCAATTTAATATGCGTATTAGACACCCCAGGGGGGCTGTGGCATAGGAGTTAGATATACAAGTCTGGGATTCAGAGAAAAGGTGGAGGGGGAGAGTTGAAGATACACATTTGAGAGTAATCAGTACATAGTTGCATCTAAGGGCAGAGATATTTGGGAAAAGAGATTTTTTTGTGTGTGTGACTCATGTAAAGAAAGCAATAGATTGGGAAATGGATGACCACAAGGACATACATTTTGAACTATAAATTGGATTACACTGATTAAACAGTTTGTTGGGAATAGCAAGGAAGGAAAAGAGAACAAGAACGCTCAAGACTGCCCTTGGGTTAAAATGAGCATGGACAGCAGCAACGGTGACATCACTTCTGGGGAACACTTGGCGGTAGCATTTTTAGCATATTTGATACCCAGAAGGGATCACTTTTTAACACCCCTGTCCTTTATATAACAAAATGATTTTCAGTAATAATTATGCAATGATTAGTAATAACCATTATTCTTGATTCATTCTTTGGGTTTTTTTTTTTTTAAACCTACCAGAAAGAGAAAAATTTAATTTTAAAGATATCACTTAAACTCAGTACGATATTTTACACATGAGCTAAAATTTACGCTTGCACAACAAAAATACTATACCTCTCAGTTTGCACTCTGTTTTCAATTTAAATTTTAAACACAATTAAACTTCACATAATCACACAGAATGATCAAATAGATCTGTAATTCAAGTTGGGTTCATTTGTTTTTACGGTCATTACGGTTTTTACGGTTTTTTAAGAATTAAAAACTGTTTCTCTCGAAGCAGCTTCTCAGCTCCATCTCGGCTACCCGCCTGTTTCAGCCGGCCTGCCTCCACTCCAGCCTCCGCCATGTCCATCAGGGTGACCCAGAAGTCCTACAAGATGTCCACCTCCGGCCCCCGGGACTTCAGCAGCCGCTCCTACACCAGCGGGCCCGCCACCCACGTCAGCTCCTCAAGCTTTTCCCGGGTGGGCAGCAGCGGCAGCTTCCGGGGCGGCCTGGGCATCACAGCCATCACCGTGAACCAGAACCTGCTGAGTCCCCTTAAGCTGGAGGTGGACCCCAACATCCAGGCGGTGCGCACCCAGGAGAAGGAGCAGATCAAGACCCTCCACAACAAGTTTGCCTCCTTCATCGACAAGGTGCGGCTCCTGGAGCAGCAGAACAAAATGCTGGAGACCCAGTGGAGCCTCCTGCAGCAGCAGAAGACAGCCCGCGGCCACCTGGACAACGTGTTCGAGAGTTACATCAACAACCTCCGGCGGCAACTGGACACGCTGGGCCAGGAGACGCTGAAGCTGGAGGCGAAGCTGGGCGACATGCAGGGCCTGGTGGAGGACTTCAAGAACAAGTACGAGGATGAGATCAACCAGCGCACAGAGATGGAGCATGAATTCGTCCTCCTCAAGAAGGATGTGGATGAAGCTTCCATGAACGAGGTGGAGCTGGAGTCTCGCCTGGAGGGGCTGACGACGAGATCACTTCCTCAGGCGGCTGTATGAGGAGGAGATCCGTGAACTGCGGTCCCAGATCTCGGACACATCCGTGGTCCCGTCCATGGACAGCAGCCGCTCCCTGGACATGGACGGCATCATCGCCGAGGTCCGCGCCCAGGACGAAGAGCTCGCCAACGCAGCCGGGCCGAGCTGAGAGCAGGTACCAGACCAAGTACGAGGAGCTGCAGACGCTGGCCGGGAAGCACGGGGGTAACTTGCGCCGCGCCAAGACGGAGATCTCCGAGATGAACCGGAACATCAGCCGGCTGCAGGCTGAGATCGAGGGTCTTAGAGGCCAGAGGGCTTCCCCGGAGGCCGCCATCGCAGATGCAGAGCAGCGTGGGGAGATGGCCGTTGAGGACGCCAACAACAAGCTGGCCGAGCTGGAGGCCGCCCTGCAGCGGGCCAAGCAGGACATGGCGCGGCAGCTGCGCGAGGACCAGGAGCTCGTGATCGTCCAGCGGGCCCTGGACATCGAGATCGCCACCTACCGGAAGCTGCTGGAGGGCGAGGGGAGCCGGCTGGAGTCTGGCATGCAGAACATGAGGATCCATACCAAGACCACCAGTGGCTACTCGGGTGGCCTGAGCTCCCCCTACGGCTCCGGCCTCCGCTACGGCTTTGGCTTTGGCTCTGGCGGGGGCTCCAGCACCTTCAGCCGCACCAGCTCCTCCAGGACCGTGGGGGTGAAGAAGATGGAGACCCGTGACGGGAAATTGGTGTCTGAGTCCTCTGATGTCCTCCCAAGTGAATGGCCATCGCAGCCCCGCCCAGTCTGCCCCCTCCTGGGGCTGCCCCAGAGCCTGTGGGGGAGATGGCTTTGCAGGGAGTAGCCTAGGGGAAGGGAACCCCTCCTGAGGCTCAGCCCTAGCCCTCAGCCCGCTCCTGGGGGGAGTTTACTGCCTGGGGTACCCCCCTCTCGCCTGTGCCCCCAGCTAAGAACTAATTCGATTGTGTTTGGGTTTTTTCCCCCAAAATAAAACTTTGGCTAACTCTGCCAAAAAAAGAATGTACTGTTTAAATGCAGGAACGTGTAATAGCAGAGGATTGGAGACACCAACTCTGAGAAGCATATGGGAGGTTGATCCACCCCTTAACGAAGATAAGCCATAAGTTGTCTTGGTGATAGAGTTAAACGTCCCCCAGAAATGATGCTGGAATCTGATCTAGGGTTTTATAAAATCCTTATTAAGACTGCAGAGCTCTGTACCATCAAGTAGGGAAAAAAAACCAAAAACGGTGTCTGTAAAATTTGATGAGTTGATGCTTTCAATTAACTGTGAAACCATAAAAGGTCTTTATTCATCAAAGTTCCAATCAGGTACAAGTCTGTTAAGGGAAATTGCATTCCAGTGACCAAAAAGAATGCCCCAGAGTGGCTAAGTGAATTGATTTGTCCAATGCCATTGCTTCTGAGACTATGTCTAGGAAACATTCTGGAAAGTGTCTAATAAAGGCAACCTCCGTGTTCCTGGCAGTAGTCACTGTAAAGTTAGTTGTGGTAACACTTGGCTAACTAGTTCAGCTGCTGGGTGTGGACAAAAATATAAATGAGAGATAGAGACACGGGATGGAGAAGGATTACAAGAAGGGACATTAGACAGAGGATGATGAGAAAAGAGGGTCTGGAGAAGGAGCGAACTGAGAAAAGTGGTTAAATGAAAGAAGGTGAGTGTGGTAGAGGCTGGAGAACCCACAGGCCCATGGATTTTTCTCAAAGGGTATAGTGTTTCAGGAAAGTGATTTCAAGGTGATATAAACAAAGTCTGCACTAGAAGATTCACCTGGGGATCGCCTGCCGTGGCAGTCAGTGTGCTCTTCCCCACCTGTTAACTGTGTGTAGGCTGAAAAGAAGCCATGGAGATCCCAGGGTTCTAGTTTAAGAAAGGCACGGGTCTAGCTGGAGATTGACAGGAGCCCCTACAAGGCAGAATAAACCCAGGGAAACTGCTCCGGGCACAAGAGGAGGACATAAAATGTCATAGGTTACCTAAAGGCTTCTTGGCAATACCACCCTCCTGCCATATTCCTATGAGCGGACATTCAGCCATTTGACTCTCAGTGAAATGGTTCGTGGGTCATAACTTAGGTAGTTTAGGAGCCAAGTGGTTTCTAATTTTCTACAGTTTTAAGAGGAGCGCTGAACTTATAAGGGACAAATTGGGAGGCCTGAATGTATACATAATTTGTAGTCATGTGTCAGTTATGGCACGGATGTTTTCTGAAAAAGGTGTTAGGCAATTTTATCATTGTGTGAACATCACCGCGTACACTTATGCAAACCTAGATAGTACAGCCTACTACAAGTCTAGGCTATAGACTGTAGTCTATTGTTCCTAGGCCACAAACCTGTACAGCATGCTGCTGTCCTGAATCCTGGAGGCAGCTGTAACACAATGGTAAGTATTTGTGTTCTAAACATATCTAAACATAGAAAATATGCTGTAACAATGTGGTAGAAAAGATGAAAATGGTCCACCTAGGCCGGGTGTAGTGGCTCACACCCTGTAATTCCAGCACTCTGGGAAACTGAGGCAGGAGAATTGCTGAAGTCGTGGAGTTTGAGACCAGCCTGAGCAACATAGCAAGACCTTGTCTCTACAAAAAAAATTTTTTTAATTAACCAGGCATGGTGACTTGCTGAGGCAGGAGGATCACTTGATCCCAAAAGGCCATTGCTGCAGTGAGCCATGATCATGTCACTGTACTCCAACCTGGGTGACATAGTGAGACTCTGACTCAAAAATAAAAAGTCTACCTGTTTAGGCCACATACTGTGAATGGAACTTGCAGAACCAAAAGTTGCTCTGGGTGTCAGAGAGTGAGTGAACGTGAAGGAATGGGAAGGCCTGGGACATTACTGTATACTATACTAAACTTATTTAAACATTTTTCTTTCTTCAATAATAAATTAATCCTAGCTTACTGTAACTTTTTTATTTTATACACTTTCATTTTCTAACTTTTTGACTCCTTTGTAATAGTCAAACTTAACTTAAAGCCCATAAAACAACTGTACACATATATTTTTTCTTTTCTTGCAGTATGAGTTTTTTTCTATATAAATTAAAAAAAATTTTTTTTTTACTTAAAACTTTTTTTTGTTATTGTTAAAAATGAAGACACAAGCACAGACATTAACCTTGGTTCACACAGGATAAGGATTATCAATATCACTCTCTTCCAGCTCCACATCTTATCCCATTGGAAAGTCTTCAGGGGCCATAATATCCAAGGAGTTGAGGAGTTTTCATCTCCTGTGATAACAATGCCTTCTGTTTTTTGTTTTGTTTTGTTTTGTTTCTTGAGTTGGAGTCTCACTCTGTCACCCAGACAGGAGTGCAGTGGCCGCTCCCAGCCACTGCAGCCTCGACCTGCTGGGCTCCGGCGATCCTTCCGTCTCAGCCTTCCAAGTAGCAGGAACTGCAGGCACGTGCTACCATACCCAGCTAATTACTTATTTATTGTAGAGATGAGGTCTCGCCAAGTAGCTGGGTATGGTCTTGGACCCATGGGCTCAGGCAATCCTCTCACCTTGGCCTCCCAAAGTGTTGGGATTACAGGCTGAGCCACCAAGCCCAGCCTAGGCTGTTTTACAGTTAACTTTTTTTTTTAATATTAGAAGGAGTACACTCTAAAATAACAATTAAAAAGTATAGTATAGTAAATAACTAAACTGTAATATAGTCATTTATTGTCATTACCAAGCATTATGTGTTGTACCTAGTTGTACATGCTATACTTTTATGACTGACAACACAGTAAGTAGATTTGTTCACACCAGCAGCACCACAAGATATGTGAGTGATATGTGCTACAGCATCACTGGGCCATGGGAATTGTTCAGTGTCATTATAATCTTAAAGGACCACAGTCATATATGTGGTCCTTAATGCAATGTCATTATGCAGCTCACATAACGAGTAGATGAGAGAGAAAAATTCCATAACAAAATTGACTTGCATACGTTTTAATGATGCTGTGCTACATGGTAATTGGGCATATATGGTAAGCAGTTGACATAATTAATAAATATGGCTTTCCAGAGCCCAGTCAGGTTTTTGGTTGTTACTTTCCACGTACTTTGTCACTTATCAAGTGTCCAGGTTGATAGTGTTTTCTGATACCAGGTGCTGTCTCCTTCTCATCAGAATCACTGAATCAGATCTAGCTGATAGATCATCTTCCTGTGTAATCAGGAATAAAAAATGGAATTGGGGAATATGGATTTTTTTTTTACTTGCTCTACTGTTAAAATTTCTGTCACACCAAGGTAGAGACTCCAACACACTCACCTTGAAGTTCACACTTTTTAGAACCCTATGCTTAGAATCAGACTTTTAGGACTGAGATAATATTTTACTCTCAAAGTCTGAGAATTGGAATAGTCTTGATTGAGTTCTATCAGCACAAATAGAGACCAGGATCCTAAACTAGGGAACATATAAAAGGAGGGAGTCTGGACTGGGAGACCTGGGCTCATCACCAGCAATTAGAGGCTCACCGTGGAAGACTGGTTCTGGAAAATCACTTGACTGAGCATCCCCTTTGATATTGGTCATGATTCAGGAACAAATATAACTTGGAAAGTTCTAGAATAGAACCTCTAGAATAGAGGATACTTGTTAGATTACACACTGGAAAAAAGGAGCGCTTCTAACTTGTTCAATGTTAGTAGGAGATAAGCTCAATGCCATTCATGACTTAAAGTTTAAGGAGTATCAGCGTCTCACTGTGGGCACATCATAGGCTCCTGGTCTGTATGGCTAGACATCAGCAGGAGTCTCTTCTCTGTCTAGCTGTTTTTTTTCCACTAAAACTTTACTAGATTTTAAGTTACTTGAGAGTAATAATTATCTCTTAATTCTTTTCTGTATCTCCAGTACCCACACAGTGTCTGGTACATGTCAGATACCAATAGTTGTTGGTTGGCTGAATACGTGAATGGATAAATGTTGACCTAAAATTTGTTTTATCTTATTTCTGCCTGATTGTAACTTTAGGTCTAAGGTAGAATCTCTATGCTGCTGACATGTACAATGAGGAATCAGGACATTCTGTCAGTTTTTCGGAGATGATCTCTAAGCTCGTGTTGAAAATAGACACCTGGGAAATCTCAGACACAGTAACGGGCTGCCCAGTCTTTTTGGTTCTTATACCCTGTGTTTTCTTTTCTAATCCTGAATAGACATTCTGCCAACGTTAAAATTCCAAACCTCCTTAATCTTCACAGTAATAAGCTTAATTTTCACTTTCCTCTCCCATCTCTCTATGTCTTTTGTCTAAAGCATATAATATTTTTCTTTCTTTCTTTCTACTCCTCTTCCCCACTAGATTCAGTACTCTGGCTGATGAGCCTTAATTATTGTTACCACTTTTAAGCACTTACAATATGGTTAACTACTTGTCTATAGGTAAGAGACCAATTAATATAGTGACAGTCAAGGAAAGGGCTTTCCATTAAGGCTCCTTCTTCTCCATTTTCTCTCTTGGATATTTCCAGAGGTAGGGAAAAGCAGTGGATTAGTGCAAGAAACAAATGGCTCATGAAAATAGAGTGTTCAACATCATTAATTGACAATAATATGTACATAAATTGAAATAGCCATGAATGTCAGTTTTCACCTCTCAGATTCACCAGGGTTGAGGATAAAAGGAAAACAGAGATTTCTTATCTTTTCCTAGTGGGAACATAAAATGATAACATTTTTTACTTATGGGTGGCCATGTGGGAAAATATCTCAGTTTTAAAATACACATAACTCGTGACCCAGAAATTCTACTTTATAGACTTAAACCTAAAGAAATAGAGATATGCACAAATATTTATATT